CATTAAGAAAGAAAGGTTCTGAACAGAAGCTAAACAGGGGAAAGAAAAGCAAGAATTAACATGCAATGTAATCTTAAAAAATCTTTTTCAGTGTCCTTGCTATGCATCAACTGACAGAACATGCTGACTGTGTTCTTCCAATAGAAAATCAGGTACAAGCAATAAAAAATGCCTTTCTTACAAATAAAATATTGTTTAATTTATTATTTTTCACACACAGTCAAAGCTGTTGTAAGAAACCACCTTGGAAATTCGAAAAAGTGGTCATAACCACGACTGGCTGCTTATCAGAATGATCCCTCGTAAGTGACCACATATGGGAGCAGTCGTTTACGAGAGCTTTTCATTACAATGCTTAAGTCACAGTTCAAATAGGGGTCACAAAGGTGGTTTTAACGAGAGCTGGTTGCTTATGAGAGTGGTCGCAAAGAGAGTTTTGACCTTGACAGTGTATTATGTTAATGAAACATTATAGAAACTTAAGCTGGGATTCTGTGCCATGGGGGATAAGAGGCTTCAAATGGCGTTGGAGAAATATCTTTGAAAAACTCGAAACTTTACAAAGTATGTATGAGCTACACTGTAATTAACGTTTTTACTACCTGGCAATTTCACAGTTTTTGATAGTTGCTATTTCCTTTGTTATTGCTTGTAAAGAGCTGAAATTTGCGCAAATTGCTTAAATTGACCAACTCTTTCAACTTTTGAATTTTAATTTGTGGTGATGGTGACGGTGACACCTTCCAGGGGTTAACCCAATGCTAATGAGCAAAAATGTAAACAATGATGCAGCGTGCAAAGAAAGTCGTGTCCAATAGCCCAGCGCTAGTGGATTTTGCTATCGGGCTAGTGATTTTTGTTCTTAACTTGCCCGACGGGCAAGTACTGTCTCTTGGGGAAATTCAAATTACAGAAGGATTGTAATCAATCCTGCTAATCAAAAAGGATTTCGGGGCTAGTTGAAATGACTTTTGGGCTAGTACATGCTAGCTACAGCTTGCCCGAATGGCAGGCTGTGAAACGGACTTTCTTTGCACCCTGATGATGTCAGCAAAGATTGCCCATAACTGAAGCTACAGAGATGATCCAGATGATTAACCCAGGCTTAAAACAGAGTTTGTTGTCCTGTGTAAGGAAGGTCGACGTTCCCTCTCTGTCATAACCCATTCACACCAGAAACATTTTTGCAGATCCATATTTCTTGCACACTTGTAATAGGGACCTTACGATCTGACAAGGGAGACATCCATGAATTTGTCATAATGATTGAAAAATAGGCTTCGCATCCTCTCAAACTTTTTCGCAATAATTGCCAAGTCGCCCAGTTATTTAAAAGAAGGAAATTTATGTTGGAGCTAAAGAGAGGGGACTGCACAATAGTTCAGACAGGAATGGTAGAATTTATTGCCTTGCCATTCCTGTTCTCAAGTAAACTTAAAACTTGAATATTTCACATCATAGTTGTTCAGGGATGGCCAAGAAGTGTACAAAAAAGCGTGATGCTATTGCAGAGCTGTTGTTTTGCTCATTAAGCCCATTGCCCTTTTGACGTTCCTGTGGCTGTTGCCATCATAGTTTTATAAGGTCCCTGTTGTCCCAAAGTTTGCAAAATTTATGCCCAACATGCCTGATTTCTGGCTAAAAATGTAGCATTTGTTTGAAGTGGCATTTCTGGCCAACCACCCATGGGGGTTGCATTGAATGAGATAAGGGCAGTAATTTTGTCACCAAATTCCTGGTGGTAAATGGTCAAGCAGCACAACCACGCCCAGACTTGGGGTCAAGTACAGTAAAAACCCATGACTAAGAACCTGCTTTTTCCCAAGTAAGACTAAACAGGTTTTTACATAAATGGTAACTAGCACCAATTTAGGCTGTTAATTTTAGGTTCGTAAATACGTTCTTAGGTTCAGTAGTCACATATTGAATAGGTGTTCATACTATACTGGATATAGCTTTTCGTATATGCATGAGAACGTGTCCAGTTAGCATGAGCACAGCCTTAGTTATATTATGATCATTAATCAGGCTTCTTTGATTATGTTGTTTTCAGGCATTAGTGGACATCTGCAACAAAGTTTCCAGTGCTCTTCCACCTTCCAAGACTGGAAAAAAGGTATTTCCTTCATCAAGCAGCCAACGTGTCAAACCCAACAGTACTGTTACATCAGGTGAAGGTGGTGTTGGCAGAGGACCCGAAAAGCCTTTTGACAACATGAACAACATAGCTGCCAATCTTATTTTGAACATGACAAGTTCTGCACGATTTGAAGGCTCTTTGAATGTGGATTTGAATGAAATCACCATGAATTTAGTGCCGTTTCCAAAGATCCATTATCTTGTTTCTAGCCTTACACCACTCTTTTCTCTCACAGATGTCCGTCTCCCTCCCAGGAGACTTGATCAAATGTTCTCGGATGCTTTTTCCAAAGATCATCAACTCATCAAAGCTGACCCTAAACACAGCTTGTACCTGGCATGTGCTTTGATGTTGAGGGGCAACGTAGAAATTTCTGACATTCGAAGGAACATTGAACGACTGAAACCTTCATTACACTTTATTCACTGGAATCAAGAAGGGTGGAAAACAGGTTTATGCTCTGTGGCACCTGTAGGTAACCCTTACTCCCTTTTAGCACTTGCAAACAACACATGCATCAGACACACATTTCAGGATCTTAAAGACCGTTTTATGAAGCTGTACAAGCGCAAAGCTCACGTGCATCATTACACCCATGTTGATGGCTTGGAGGTGGCACAGTTTGATAGCAGTTTAGAGTCACTGAACTCTCTAATTAGTGAATATACCACTCTGGAAGCTCACATGGGAAGAACTGTAGATGATATTCAAAGACTGACAATTGCTTGAGTATATATGTGGTAGTTCAATTTTATCCTTGGTTTAGATTTATCTCAATTTGTTTTAAAATCATTATCATACATTACCATACCCAAAAACAAAGGGAAATAAAATTTAACCCAAGGATAAAATTGAACCACAACATATATGACAATTACTGTTGTTTCTGAAGTCCCTCATGCAAGTACACAACTTATGAACAGCAATTAGGAATATTATCATATTTGATGTCTCAAGTGTCCTAAAATATATGGGATGCAAAAATCCTTGGATTTACAGTAATACACAGCCATTTGTTTACGCTTTCCTAAACAATGTCACCCTTTCCTCTTGGTGAAAATAAGGGTTTATAATGCACAGTAGTATACAACTATAGATCGTAATTTCTGAATGTTTTCAATAGTGCGATCATCAAATGATGTAATACTTTTTTAAAAAAAGAATAATTTTAAATCACAGAGCATTTACCACCCAAAAAACACACCCGCTACCCAACAACGGTTTCTGTATTACCAAGAAATCAGTGCAATAAAACAGTTCAAATAAACAGCAGAGCAACAGATTTAAAAGACGTTTCTATTTTTATTTCAATCTTTTAAATAACACTTTCTTAAGGTTGCTGGGCCAGTTTCCACTCAGTCAAACAATCCTGAAAGAAAAACAAAATCAATTCAGAATAGATTGTACAGTGTAGATGGATTGCACATTACAGAACCAATCAGCTCCTCAGATTCACCAAGTTTATGATAACATGTCTGACTTAGTTCTACCTGATATAGTTTTCAAACCAATCTTAAGCTTGTCCTTTAATTGCATGTGATGTCATGACACATAAATACTGGTACTGAAAAATGGAATTTTATGCTTGCTTAACCCTATCTTAAGGTCGCCAGTGTTGTTGCATCTCACTGCAGCACATCTTTCGGTTTGTCAGTTGGAAGAAATATTTCTTATTCTAGAACTCCACACTTGAACGATAAAGAAAAAAATTAATTTTCTTTATTAATTTTTTTTTTTCAAACTGGAAAATTTTTCGTAGAGGTTCTTACAGTAATGTGTACTTTATATTAAAAAAGAAAGTAAATAAAACTTTTTAGGTTATCGGCCCTTCAAACTTGTTATCCTTAACTTACCAAATCCCATATCGTCATCAGACTCTTCCTCCTCCTCCTCCTTCTTTTCTTCTTTCTTCTCCTCTTCCTTGGCTGCTGGAGCATCACCACCACCAGCAGGAGCAGCTCCTCCAGCAGGGGCAGCACCACCAGCACCTGGAGAACCAGCGGCCTGGATAAGACTGTCCAGATTGTGCCCTTCAAGGGCTTTGGCAAACAAGCCTGGCCAGAAAGGCTCAACCTCAACCTTGGCAGCCTTGATTAGCTTTTCAATTTTATCGGCCTGTTGAATTTTAAAGAATTAACCTTGTTCAATTGAATGCTAATTGCATCAAAACCAAGTACACTTTATTAAAAAAAGTACTGCAAACATTTTGTGGAATCTTCCCTAGTAAAGAATTCTGTAACATGGCAAGGCTGTGCTCTAAGATTAACTGAAGGGAACACCGTCCTCTGAACCTGTGAAATCCAGGGTGCTCTGCATATGATTTTCATGAAAGCATAAGATTTTCTAGTCACCAGGGCCACGTTGTTCAAAGCAGAGTTAAGGTAACCCAGGGTTTGTACAAAGTTTAAATTCAGATATTAAAGCTTTAAAAGTAAATTCAGTTCACAGTGTAATTCTTTTTGCCAGCAATGTAATGATCTGAAGCTCTATAAAGAATAGAGAAAATTATCCAAGAAAATGATTTTGAACAGAAGAATAAGAAACCCAGATTAAAATTTAATCCAGGGTCAGTACTAATTGGCTTTCAAACAACTGGGTCCTGAGAGTAAAAGTTAGGCACCAGGAGCCACTGGGAGCTGCCAGAGCACAGCCTCGTATGGAACCAAAGCTTTCCTGACCTTAGCAAAATTTAAATTCAGTCTTTTTTGGATTATTATTTTAAGCTCAGCTGTCATTAAGAGGTAGGGGCCAGGGGAAGTCACCAGGTACTATGAATGTACCGCCCTGCTACTCTCAAAGACAAATGGAACCAAAAGAAAACCGTAGCTGTTTGATTCCCCGCCTACTTGTTGTATTTACCCGGTAACTTGAAATCTTAGTGACAACCCTGTTTAAGGGAAAGATTTCGGCATAGCTACATAAATTTACTATGTGTACATGATTCAACTCCACTCAAATTGAATATTTGTGTCTTTCTGCAAGTACTATTATCACAAAAGAAACAAAAGGAACCAAACAATATGAGTTCTCCTGGGGGCTTTATTATTTAGTTGTATAGAGTACCGAAGTGATGAGGTCATAAAAATGAAATTTGTGAAATTATGGGATTTGTTAAGATATTCTGAAAGAACAACGTCCAAGATGCCTACTCACCAAAAAATTATCAATTCGGGGCAAATTGTCTCTGAGATATTAGCCCAGTTATGCTGTGACAATTCCATACAAATCCTTCTAAATTTGGCTCGGTTCATAAGATTAGGAACCAGGTAAGATTTAGAAGGATTTGTATGGAGTCATCAGAGCATAACTGGGCTAATATCTCAGAGACAATCTGCCCCAGATTGCTAATTTTTGGGGAGTAGGCGTCTTGGACGTTTTTCTTTCAGAATATCTTAACAAATCCCATAATTTCACTTATACTACTACATGAGAAATTTCTACAATCTGATTGGTTTAGAGCAGTGGTATTTCAGCTTAATTTGAAATACCTACATGTGAAAATTACAAACCTTTCCCGGGTAGTAGTAAAAACAAATAATAGCATGATTCGTAGTGATATTTGGCAGAAATACCACTTGTGATATTTCAAAATTGTCTCAAATTTCACTCGCCTAACAGCTCGTGAAATTTCATATAACAGTTTTGAAATATCACTCGTGGTATTTATGCCAAATATCACTACAAATCATGCTATTACCTGTACAAATTTCATTTTCTATGACGTCACACTTCGGTACTCTATTGTTACTTTTGTTGCACGTAATCTGTGCGTAGGTACCTACAGAAGGAACTGAATATTTGTGTGGAACAGTATGAAATTGCAGCATGCATAATAAATGTATGGGCCTGAGCGGAAATTTTACGTGCTCAATATTACACGTCTTAAAAGTTATGACTTTCAAGTTGGCAACAGGCAGACCCACATTTTTGGGTAACAAATCTCTCAGAGAAAAAGAAAAAAGTCATATTTTGGCGTGCATTGTTCCCTAGACTATCATTCTCCTGTTCAATTTCTGCCCTTGAAGCCCTGATAAAAAAATAAACCCAGTTAATTTTTACAAGTCTTGGTAGATAACAACACGTGGAAACGAAAAATCAAAACGAACATTATGACTGATGTGAAGTGTCTAAAGTGCAGTTTTCTATGATTTAGCAGCCGGTTGTGGCTCAGATTATAAAGTGGAATCACCCTTAACGATCATATGTCAGAGGTGTAGTATCATCACAGCCACGTAAATAAATAATCTCCTAACTTCTTGTCAAGGCAAAACCGCCATTTTGGATTTTACTACCTACCGTGACGGGAACACCATCGTCGTGGAGAATGAGAGCACTGTACACACAAGCAAGCTCAGAAGTTGATGCCATCTTGTTGTTAAGGTTTTTATGTTTCTATTTCGCCTAGAAATATCGATGTAGGTTGCCTTGATGAAACGATTCACACGGATTACAAGGCCTTAGCTCTACACGAGAACTCTACACCTTCAGAGACGAGATAGGAGAGGAAGAAAAGTTGACTGCGCTTGGAATTATGGGAATCCTCGCAGACCTTTTTTCACGCGCGCGAAAGAAAGGATCATTTTGAAATCTCCCAGCAGCTTTTTTGGCGATATATGTGAGTTTATTTCTTGATGTGACACGATTTTATGATTTCTAACTGATTTAACATCGGTAAATGTCTTGGTTTTTGGTCTGAGCGTAGAAGATTGGTGTTTTGATTTGCTTTTGCCGCGATGTCAAATCAAAACTATATCGATACAATTGCCGCTTTGAAAGCTATCATCGTTGAATCCCTCAAGAATCCCGGAAAAAGGAAAGAATTTGTGAGCGAAGGATCTGTTGAGCTGATTATTGGTGAGTAAGAGTTAAGCTTCCACTGAAAAACCTTCATGCATGACTGTGTTTAACCCCCGAACCGAGGGACAAGGACCACGTGGATCCGTTGTTTTCCAAAATAAGCTTGCTTCCAAACGCGTTGACCTTTTCTATGAACTTAGAACTGTTACTGTTTCAAGTTGTTTACTGAAGCAAAAAGCTTTACTGTAAATGAGCGCAGAGGGAAAGGTAAGGGAGGACAAAGATGATGTGAGAGGGAGAGGACAGAGAAACAAAGAGAAACAAGAACGCTCTAAGTAGCGTTGAGTCTCGCTTGTTTGTAGATAAGATCACAGGCGGCCCAGACGTAGTATGTGTCACTGAATGAATATATTAATATTCACATGAACAAATTAATGCGATGAGTCGTCGAAACTCCCATGGACTAAAATAGTCTAAAAGTCAAAATATAACAAAACAAAGCTGAGATACCTTCAACTGAACGTATCCTTGTCTTTCCTGGCCGGTTTAAGTGGCATTTTGTT